CAAGGAAGTTCTTCGGCAATTGCGGAAACATCAGCTTTACGCCAACCCCGAGAAGTGTGAATTCAATATGGATACTGTTGAGTATTTGGGTTATATTCTTTCTCCCGACGGATTGACTATGTCCAAGGAGAAAGTCCAGACAGCTCTAGAGTGGCCGGTGACACGCCTAAATTTTGGCTAGACGTCTATGCTGTGAATTGTGACATTTTCACGTATAGATTTGTATCAAGAGGACTGTAATTGAGACCCAGATTGACAGTCAAAGTCGATACTGAATCAGTCTAATAAGTTGAAGGGACCATATACCCATACTACCACAAGTTGGTTAGTTTACCCATCCCCGATACTACCTACGGATAGCAGTCTACCTGTTTGTCAAGCAGGATTATACCAGACTCGGACTACATCCGAAGGATGACCATTCACGTATGACATACCAAGGGTATTCTTATTGGACCTTACACTGGCAGGAGTTTGGAAGAACTTACTCAAGTGACCATGAACCGAGGATTGACTCGAAATGACTTTCTAGAACTCAGGAATTATCAAATACTCCTTCTAGAACGAGATCATGCATTAATCTAAAAAGACTGCGATTTAGTCTAATAGAACAATCAAGTTGCATGGTTGAGGAAAATGACTAGAAGAACGATCGAAGTACTGCGAGGCTCCGAAGACATATCAAATGAATGTCAAAGAGTCCTGACGTAGAAAACATTGAAGAATGCAATTAAATGAATACAATGCGTAACTCCCTTGATAGAGTATAGGCACAATGGGTGTCTGTTGAAAGAGAGAAGCAATTAGTTTAATCCAGATGAATCAGATTGATAGGATTAGAATTGAGGAGAGCTGATTTGCCTCCGGACGAGATGACAAACGATCGAAGTAAGTGTTGAACCGCAATGACAGTTGAACACCATTCGAGTCATTCTCTAAAAGCAATTAAATTAAATGAATATTGAAGTACCTACCTATGTTTGGAGGTATACTAGAATCTTGGAACCAATATGGACCAAATAAGGACATGTAGATTCGAATTAAATGGTATCTGACTGAGTGTAGAAGTTTCCTTGCGGTTCCGAATGTTTATTGTATTAAATTAATTGTACTATGCGACTCTATATTCTGTATGTATAAATAGCGATCCGATGTATCTGGAATACAAGTGATTTTGGGACGACGTTGCAGTGCTAATCCGTAAAAAGGAAAGACACACTCCCGCCAGACTGAAACTTCTTCGCTAGCAGCCATTCGGGCCTGGCACTTGTGAGTATAGGAACGTCGTGTTCTGCTCCTTGTGACTGCGAGAAGTCTATCCAGTTGTTGGGTATTCTTCGAACTTAGGATCAGTCGTTGGTCTTAAGGGCAAATCACGCTGTGTGGTTGTGCCAGCACATAGTTCTAGCCCTCCGTAGGGGTCTGTGTGTTTCGGTTTTAATTTACTTTGATTCAAACCCCCAATTCTTGATATACCCAAATCAATACAAACCAAAGCACAAATCGTGCTGAATCTACCTTGATCAAAGGAATATATCGAATCCTTAGAACGATTCAAATTGATTGATCAAAGCTTCGTACTTAGCTCTCAAAGCTTTGCGGAACCTTTGCCAACGCTACCCCTTGCTATTAAATAAATTTGATAGCAGTGAACTCACATATTGTGTATTAGATTGGTTGGTTGGAGTGCCCATTAGATTCCTTCCTTTCTCTTTCACACAAAAACGAGGCAAGCTCGTTATCTGGAGCCCACTGCGAGGGGTGGTTTTGAAGCTACAATTAGCTTGATAAATTAAATTGAACGTTTGTTTGGATTATATTCGATTATTTGGTAGAAGTGTGTTGATCTTTGTGATACCATTTCTGTGAACTGTCAACATTAGTTCATCAGGAAAACCGCGTACTTCGAAGAATTCGGAGAAAGCAGGAGTTTTGACACCGGAAGAATATCGTAAAGCGTAAAGCAGGAGTTGTATTTGGGAGATCTACGTTCGGCACATCAGCTCGAACATCCCTATTAAATCCTACGAGCGAATCCAGTCGTCCATCCTCTTCTCAAATACCGACAGAAGAATCGCGTGAAAGTTCTGTTTCTAGAGGAACAGGATCATCTATATCTCGAGGAAGACTTACATCTTTGCCGAGGAATTTGAAGAAATCTAATCTCGATCCGAAAAGAAAGAGAAAAGAAATTAATCCGATTGATATTGAAGAAGATATAATTGAATTGATTGCTCCAGAGTCAATTTCAACATCTTCTACGTCGATTGAATCAACTAGATTGATAGATACGTTACATCAGACTATCTCTCAAACAAGTAATACGATTGAAACAGTCAAAATGACTACCAATAATTATGGAATGCCTGCGTTGTCAGCTGAAGCTAAGGCTGAGATTGATAAAGCCAGTGCGAAACTTCCAAGAAAGTATAAGACAGCACCATTATTCGATATAACTGATCCAAGTCAAATGATACCATGGTTCGAAGCTACTGAAAGCATATTTGAACATGGAGGAATTACATCTGACGAGGCTAAAGTGAGATTAGCTTTAGAATGGACGTCTTATAAAACGAGACAAGCATTAAGAGTCTTTGATTCGGTGAAGAAACCGAATTGGGATCAATTTAAAAAGGATCTAAAGAATATGTTTCCGCAATCTGTAGGAGACGAAAGTGTTGAGCATACTGTAGTGATAGAACACTTTCTACATACATTACACAGCGCTTCATCACTCCTAGTTATCACTGTAGTGACTTACTTAGTGTATAAAGTACTTACAGACTTCATTTCTTAGTTTTACAACTCATAACTTAGCTATTTCTTTAGTGTTACTGTAGTTAGTTACTTTTCATAGGTGCGCACAATTGTGGACACCTATTATCACGCCTCATGCGTTTCTAGTACATACAAGACCAAACAAACCTGTATTCCTACTATAGTTGAAAGATACAAATCAATACTCATACTATATTGACTCTGGCCTATGCTAGTTTTCACTCAGGGGAGGTGTGTTTAGCCAAAACTTGAGCCCAAGGGCCCCTAAATTGCGGATCATGAAGTGCCCTACTACAAGGTACATGGTGAGGTAAGGAGTAAGTAGCATACTACAAGTACATATCAAAGTATGAATGAAATGAAATGAAATTACAAGTACAAGAGAGGGATGGGAGGGAGGGTGACAAGAAAAAAGCGCAGATCAAGCTAGATCTGCTCAGATAACAGTTAGTACCTAGTAGAATGAAAGATCAGAGCTGATCTGCGCACTGAGAGCCCTGATATCCGAAGATCTGACAATCTGGAGGTGATATGAAGCAGTAGATGTGGTCAGATCTGTATGGATGTGTTGTGAGCTCTGTACAGTGGAGAGATCAGTGATAGTGGCGGAGCCATACCAGAAAATCCGTAATCTGAGACTCTAGAACGAAGCCTGTGGTCTGTACAGATGTAGGAGAGGCTGGTGGGGTGATGTTAGAGCTATCAGAGCTGTGGGGAGTGTGCAGATGTCCTACCCAAATCCGAAGATGGTGGGGGAAAGGAAGGAAGAAGGACAGAGTCAGATGACACTCCTGATCAAGCTAATCACAGGCCTCTGCTCGGAACTCCGGCACCTGTGACTGCCAGAAGTGTCCCATGACCTGCCTTGATCATCTGACAACAAGTTACCAAAACTTCGGAATTGCAAAGTCGAAGTTGGTGAGTAAAAGTACACACTGCCGGAGCAGTAGTGAAGATATTGACAAACGGGTTGCATAGCGTTGTTCCTGACGTGTTCCTGCTGTAGTCCACCAACGCACGCGTGTATATAGCGCGAGGACGACAAGCTATAAATAAAACAAACTCGAAGCTCCAGAATAAAAAGTTGAGCATTCTCAAGAAAAAGTGTTCATAGTGTGAGATCTGATCAAGATATGAACAAGGTGATTGTTGAAGGTGATTGGGGGAGTGGTAATCGAGATATTAGCAGGTGGTGGTGATGGTAGGACGAAGGGAACAACAGCAATTAGATGTATTCATGTGCACTATTGAAGTGATGAACACAAGATCTAATTGCTGTGGTGTATCTGTTGTTTGCAGAGGCCTCCAGAAACGCTCCCTACCCTTGGAATCCGCCTTCATGTCGATCATTGTTACTGTGTTTATTGGAGTACTGAGCAACTACAAGACTCTGTAGCACAACCTACTGAGCTTGTATTAAGGCATTGACATTCTCTGCATTGAGCTGGGTGGCATACTGTTTGGGTTAGCTGAAGGGCGCTCCAGTGTGTTTCAACTTCAACAAGTGCAATCTCCTTCAACACAATAGGGATTGGCAGAGTGAATAATTCATTGGGGGCACTCGAAGTCACTTTAAGAGGTTGTTGTTTCGGAGTAGTCTCAGGAGGAACATAGTCTTTACCAAGAGTTGGTTTATCTGGTGATTTGGATGCGTACATGTATCGTTCATCGAAGTCTGCACGTTCACTGATGATAACCTTCTTGGTGACAGGGTTCCAGAACTTCCATCCTTTAACTCCCTCAGGGTACCCAATGAACACACACTTTTCCATATGAGAACCAAGGTGTAGTCTCTTGTCCTTTTGAACATGCACATAGGCCATGCATCCCCATACCCAAAGATTCTCCACATTAGGTTTCTTCTTGTAGAAGACTTCATACGGAGTCACATCTGGAACAGCTGATGTTGGGCAACGGTTCAACACATAAACAAGCGCAGCCAGGCATTCCACCCAGAATGTCTTTGGTAAACCCGATTCCAGCAGCATAGCAGTCAGTAGTTCCGCCAATGTCCTATTTAGCCTTTCAGCGACTCCATTTTGCTGAGGTCGATTTCTAGCCGTGCGTTGTACTTCAATCCCTTCATCTTGTAAGAACTTTTCAAACTCCTTGGATATATACTCTCCACCTTTATCGTGTCTGAGTATCTTGACCTTTAATCCAGTAACCTTCTCAGCCCAGGCCTTGAACCGCTTGAATGCTGCAAATGCATCACTCTTTTTCTTCATCGGTATTACTGCTCTAAAGCGTGCTTTATCACAGATGAACGGAATCCAATAGCGGTAGCCTTCATGTGAGATGATACCAGTGTCATGTACATCCGTAAAGACAAGTTCCAACACTTCAGAAGCGCGGGTCTCAGTACTGGGGAAGGGATTTGCATGCATCTTTCCCCCAAGACAAGGTTCACATACTGGGTCTGGTTTTGCACTAGACTCGAGTTTAAAGCCCTCAACCATCTTATTCTTAGACAGTCGACATGAAGGCGGATTCCAAGGGTAGGGAGCGTTTCTGGAGGCCTCTGCAAACCAACAGATCCCCACCAGCAACTGAATCTTTCATTCAGTACCTTGGAAGTGTACAGGAGGCCTCCTCCTCACTTCTGACAGGTACATAAATATTCAGTTGCTGCCTCTCACCAAAAACTCTACAGATATTCCTCACTTCTGAAAATGTGTACAGGTTTCTCCACAACCTCACTTTTCAGCTGTGTACAGATTTATCTCTCTCTCTCCAGGTTTTACCTCACTTCTGTACAGGGTCTCACCCTCAGATGTGTACAGGTTCCACCTGATTTTTTACAGAAGTGTACAGGCTGTGTTCCTCACCTCTTCAGTTGTGTACAGGTGTTTTCACCTCACTTCTTCAGTTGTGTACAGGCCAGACCTCACTTCTCAACATGTGTATAGGTCACACCTCACTTCTGTCCTCAGATGTGTACAGGTAGCACCTCACATGGGGCCAGTTGGATCAGGTGATGTGTTGATCATGTGTTCTGTTTCAGTCAGGTGCCAGAGTTTCTGAGCAGAGGCCTGTGTGAAAAAGGTCAGAATCATGTGATCCCATCAGCTCTTCCTTTCTCTCTTACCACCACCATCTCCTGCCACTTTGGTGATTTGGGTGAGAACACTGGCTTTCTTCCACAGCTCTGATAGCTTCAACATCACCCTCCAGGTCTTCCTTTCATCTGTACAGGCCTAGCCTCAGATTCAAGGACCTGCCATAGCTCTGACAGCTTCAACATCATTTTTCCTTGTCTTTTGTGTATAGATTAGAGGTCTGGGTTCTCAGTGTGTCTATGATATCTTTTATGGGTGTTTTACATGGTTTTCAACTGATGTTTGGGCAGATCTAGGTTGATCTGGTCATTTTTTTGGTCACCCTCCCTCCTCTCCCACATCACATCTTTACTTTCAACCATTTCACTCCACTCTAACCTTGTTATTTTATTTTTTACTTAGACTTCTTTTTTCATTTATATTATTTACCATACCATACCCTTCCTGTAGGGCCCTGCATGATGCATTCAATTTAATGGGGCTTTGGCCCAGTTTATGGCTAAACACTTCTCTATGAGTGAAAATAGGCATAGGCTTGCTAACATCACCATAATTATAGTGAAAGAAGCGTCTATGCCAAAGCTCAAGATTCAGAGGCAGAGTTGTACCACCAATATGCGCACTTTCATCCTCTGTACCATTACTTATAGTAAGACCATTAAGATAACCAACTGATTTGTTATTGACTGAAGCAGTAAATAGAACAGAACCATTAAGAGTAAACTCCATTGTATCTTTTAGGATTTGTACAGTAAACCTATGCCTATTTTCACTCATAGGGAAGTGTTTAGCCATAAACTGGGCCAAAGCCCCATTAAATTGAATGCATCATGCAGGGCCCTACAGGAAGGGTATGGTATGGTAGATAATATAAATGAAAAAAGAAGTCTAAGTAAAAAATAAAATAACAAGGTTAGAGTGGAGTGAAATGGTTGAAAGTGAAGATGTGATGTGGGAGAGGAGGGAGGGTGACCAAAAAATGACCAGATCAACCTAGATCTGCCCAAACATCAGTTGAAAACCATGTAAAACACCCATAAAAGATATCATAGACACACTGAGAACCCAGACCTCTAATCTATACACAAAAGACAAGGAAAAATGATGTTGAAGCTGTCAGAGCTATGGCAGGTCCTTGAATCTGAGGCTAGGCCTGTACAGATGAAAGGAAGACCTGGAGGGTGATGTTGAAGCTATCAGAGCTGTGGAAGAAAGCCAGTGTTCTCACCCAAATCACCAAAGTGGCAGGAGATGGTGGTGGTAAGAGAGAAAGGAAGAGCTGATGGGATCACATGATTCTGACCTTTTTCACACAGGCCTCTGCTCAGAAACTCTGGCACCTGACTGAAACAGAACACATGATCAACACATCACCTGATCCAACTGGCCCCATGTGAGGTGCTACCTGTACACATCTGAGAACAGAAGTGAGGTGTGACCTGTACACATGTTGAGAAGTGAGGTCTGGCCTGTACACAACTGAAGAAGTGAGGTGGAAACACCTGTACACAACTGAAGAGGTGAGGAACACAGCCTGTACACTTCTGTAAAAAATCAGGTGGAACCTGTACACATCTGAGGGTGAGACCCTGTACAGAAGTGAGGTAAAACCTGGAGAGAGAGATAAATCTGTACACAGCTGAAAAGTGAGGTTGTGGAGAAACCTGTACACATTTTCAGAAGTGAGGAATATCTGTAGAATTTTTGGTGAGAGGAAGCAACTGAATATTTATGTACCTGTCAGAAGTGAGGAGGAGGCCTCCTGTACACTTCCAAGGTACTGGATGAAAGATTCAGTTGCTGGTGGGGATCTGTTGGTTTGCAGAGGCCTCCAGAAACGCTCCCTACCCTTGGAATCCGCCTTCATGTCGACCTATGCCTATTTTCACTCATAGGGAAGTGTTTAGCCATAAACTGGGCCAAAGCCCCATTAAATTGAATGCATCATGCAGGGCTATAAGACCTATGAGATGTTGTTGAGGGGTGGTTGGTGGTGTGAAAAATGTGAATGAGGCATGAGATGAATGGATGATTGTTGGAGAGAGTTAGAGAGGGAAATGGATGACCTGTATCCAGAAGACCACTGAGAATAAAGTGTTAAGTGTTTCAGGAATATTTCCAAAGTAAGCATTAAACCAATCTCAAACTTGAGAGAGGTGTCACTACTTGTTCAGAAAATTCCTAATTCACCCTAGAGCTGTCATCCCTGTGCAGTGTTGAAACACTGAAGGATGAAAAGTGGATAAAGTCCAGATAATTGTTGAGCTGAACCCTTGTGAAGACCTGAATCTATAGGATGTAACTCAAAAGTGATCCAAACTTGGAAGACAGATTTGGTGAGTCAGATGAAAATTCTGTATAGGCAGGGCCTAAGGATATCAATCTGAGAGATGGTGCAGAGCCTATGATAGAAAACTCTAGTGAAAATCCTTGTATAGGTGGGACCTAAAGGATGTAGCCAGATATAGATTCTTGCACAGGTGGGACCTGGGGAATAAATCCTAAGGCAAAACTAGATAAAACTCTCTATATGGATGGAGCTAAAGATGTAGATCTGAGAGCTGTACACCTGTAAACCAAATTGTGACAATATTTGGAGAGGTGAGCTCAATGTTGATGATGTGAATCACAGAGACTAAAGGGTGGAAATCCTTGTGTAGGTAAAACCTAAAGGATGTGGCCTGCACAGGTAAGACCTGATAGCTATAGACTGAAGGTGAAAATCCTTATATAGCTGAAGCCAGGAGGATGGGAACCAGCAGTGAAAAGGAGATTTGAAACTAAAGGTACAGATCCTTGTATAGGCAAAGAAAGCCTAAAGGATGTGAATCTAAGGCCTAGAGCTGAAGATTCTTGTACAGGTGGGACCTGAAGAATATAACTCCAAGGTGAACATCCTTGTATAGACAGAACCCAAGGGATCTGAACCCAAGATTAGATGGAGGATTTGAAAGTGAAACCAATGTGTGACTGAGTGAAATCCTTGTACAGGCAGGGCCTGAAGGATAGGGACCAGGAAGATAGGGACCAGAAAGAGGATCCTTGTACAAGCAAGGCTTGAAGGATTTACAGGAATGGAATGTCTTGAACAATAGCTGAGAGTGAGAAAATAGTCTGAATTTTTATAGCAGTAAGTGATTTAAAAAATAAAGAAATCATGAAAATGACACTTAGCAGATTAAATTTCTGGGAGACCACTATGTGGAGCATCTGACCATAAGGGATTGAAAGGATAGTGATGATTGGTTGCAGTTCTTGTTCCAAGTTGACTGAAGCTATACAAATATTGGATGATAGCTGAGAAACTGGAACAGAATGGACAGAAGTGCTAGGTTGGAATCCTTGTTTAGGGCAGGTCCTAAAGGATGTAAACCAGAAGATGGCAGAATATTAATGGTTTAAAGGATTGGTTGGAATCCTTGTCCAGGAGCATATTGAAGCCTGAAGGATATAAACCAATTGCTGATCATCATAAGATGAAGAAATGAGATCCCTGTGCAGTATAAAACTGAGGGATAGGTTGAAGGATTAATGTGTAGTTGACTCCTTGTACAGAAACAAAGCCTGAAGGAAATGGACAAGCCCAAGTGTAAAACTTGTGTGGCCAAGGAAAGGATAGTTTGTAGATGAGGAGAGGATTCTGGATCCAAAACTCCAAAGCCTTTTCAAGAGGCAAACTTGAAGTAAGGTGATTGACTGAAGTGAGGTGAATCACTGAAGTGAAAGATTCACTGAAGTGAGAAATTCACTGAAGTGAACATTGGAAGCTAAATAAATAGCTCAGATTTGGTGCCCAATATCCTGAGACAATGTGAAGCATGGGCAGTAGCTCTTCCTTTTGATTACAAACTGCTTCAGGAAATGGATTGGATCCAATATCTGAAGAGGATGCAGAGGACTAAACAATCACTGACAAGTGAAAGTTCAAGGGTCCAGATCACCACTGGTGAGAAAAATGACCAGGCCACTATTGGCAAGAGAAAATATATAGCAGAAGTTTGAGCTTCACTGTAGCCATATAGACAATGAGCTGAAGTGAAGGATTGGTGTTAAAATGTGAAGGAGATCCTATGCTAGTTTTCACTCAGGGGAGGTGTGTTTAGCCAAAACTTGAGCCCAAGGGCCCCTAAATTGCGGATCATGAAGCGCCAAAACTTGAGCCCAAGGGCCCCTAAATTGCGGATCATGAAGTGCCCTACTACAAGGTACATGGTGAGGTAAGGAGTAAGTAGCATACTACAAGTACAGAGTAAGAAAGAAATGAAATGAGATGAAATTACAAGTACAATAGAGGGATGGGAGGGAGGGTGACAAGAAAAAAGCACAGATCAAGCTAGATCTGCTCAGATAACAGTCAGTACCTAGTAGAATGAAAGATCAGAGCTGATCTGCGCACTGAGAGCCCTGATATCCGAAGATCTGACAATCTGGAGGTGATATGAAGCAATAGATGTGGTCAGATCTGTATGGATGTGTTGTGAGCTCTGTACAGTGGAGAGATCAGTGATAGTGGCGGAGCCATACCAGAAAATCCGTAATCTGAGACTCTAGAACGAAGCCTGTGGTCTGTACAGATGTAGGAGAGGCTGGTGGGGTGATGTTAGAGCTATCAGAGCTGTGGGGAGTGTGCAGATGTCCTACCCAAATCCGAAGATGGTGGGGGAAAGGAAGGAAGAAGGACAGAGTCAGATGACACTCCTGACCTATGCTAGTTTTCACTCAGGGGAGGTGTGTTTAGCCAAAACTTGAGCCCAAGGGCCCCTAAATTGCGGAGTAAGTAGCATACTACAAGTACAGTGTAAGAAAAAGATGAAATGAAGTGAAATTACAAGTACAATAGAGGGATGGGAGGGAGGGTGACAAGAAAAAAGCGCAGATCAAGCTAGATCTGCTCAGATAACAGTCAGTACCTAGTAGAATGAAAGATCAGAGGTGATCTGCGCACTGAGAGCCCTGATATCCGAAGATCTGACAATCTGAAGGTGATATGAAGCAGTAGATGTGGTCAGATCTGTATGGATGTGTTGTGAGCTCTGTACAGTGGAGAGATCAGTGATAGTGGCGGAGCCATACCAGAAATTCCGTAATCTGAGACTCTAGAACGAAGCCTGTGGTCTGTACAGATGTAGGAGAGGCTGGTGGGGTGATGTTAGAGCTATCAGAGCTGTGGGGAGTGTGCAGATGTCCTACCCAAATCCGAAGATGGTGGGGGAAAGGAAGGAAGAAGGACAGAGTCAGATGACACTCCTGATCAAGCTAATCACAGGCCTCTGCTCGGAACTCCGGCACCTGTGACTGCCAGAAGTGTCCCATGACCTGCCTTGATCATCTGACAACAAGTTACCAAAACTTCGGAATTGCAAAGTCGAAGTTGGTGTGTAAAAGTACACACTGCCGGAGCAGTAGTAAAGATAATGACAAACGGATTGCATAGCGTTGTTCCTGACGTGTTCCTGCTGTAGTCCACCGACGCACGCGTGTATATAGCGCGAGGACGACGAGCTATAAATAAAACAAACTCGAAGCTCCAGAATAAAAAGTTGAGCATTCTCAAGAAAAAGTGTTCATAGTGTGAGATCTGATCAAGATATGAACAAGGTGATTGTTGGAGGTGATTGGGGGAGTGGTAATCGAGATATTAGCAGGTGGTGGTGATGGTAGGACGAAGGGAACAACAGCAATTAGATGTATTCATGTGCACTATTGAAGTGATGAACACAAGATCTAAT